ATTAACGCGAATTAATTTGATGCTAAAATTTTATTAAGTTTCTTGGAATTTTCTTGATCGTAGTTGTAATATAATACCAACGTTAAAAGTTAAAACCTCGGGACAAATAAATCTTTTCAACGTTTCCATACGTTGATACCATTAAAATTATTTCTGAAATATTGTTTGCATCATCGTAACTGCAAGTTAAATGGAGATATTAATTAAAGTATTCGAATAATCTATGACTTTGCCCAACGTCCAAACAATCCTAAAGTTCTTTATAATTCGTTGGTGAATTAATTTTCGTATCTCGTTCGTAGATAAGAACGAATTAACTGATTTTTAAAACGGTGTTCCAGACGAGCAGAGCCGCGAGCAAAAGTCAGCGTTATTCGCGAATAAAATGTTCCCAACTCTGGCTGCGAGTTTTTAAATTTTTACTCGACGTAAAATATCCCCGAATGCGTTCACCGTTACTCGCGGTATTTTGTTCGCGCGTCCGAATTTGTATTTTTATCGTTCATTTCGCGAAAAAAAAAGAAACATCATCTCGCGATACGAGTCACGTATGTCTACCACGTCGCCCTTCTAAAGCCCTTAAAGAATAAAAGGCGAGGTGAATTTTAAGCGGAGTTCATGCGTTCTGTTTCCTCCTGCCAGCGGGATTTGCCTTCTTGATTAGCATAATCTAACGGGATACAGGGAGACGAGAGGGGGGACAGGCTTTATACGAGCATTGTTATTATGTATTTAGCGTGTAACTCAAGTTGCACGACTAGTTCGGAGACTATCCAACTTTAGAATGCGTGAAGGACTTAGCAGTCGGGCCAACTTATGATAGAACTTCGCGAATACATCGGAGCACGCGCGGCATGTCCTATGTCTTACCTGCGGGAAACTTTGTTCCATCCGGGTGGAATACAGGTGTGCATACACGCAGACAAGAATGCACGACGCATCTCGTAGTTTCGTATCAACCTATAAATTCTGTGCTATTGGTTCGTTATTAATTTAATTATTTAATCCCCATGCCGAGAATTACGTAAGCCGTACCTGTGGCAAAAAATTGCAGAACCTTAATCATTCTACTACGAAACGCATACTTTTAGATTCTCTTTGGTGATTTCTTTACCAAAGAATGTATAAGATATTTAAATACATAGACATTTTGTCGAAGAAAAATTATTATTGATCGCGTATTCTTAAACGTAGTAAACAGAAATCGTCTCGTGGTTTCAGCTATTCTACACGTTTCAAACGAAAGAAGATTCTTAAGTTGGATGAGTTTGGCTATAGCAGGTATTATCTACTAAGAAACAAGTAGATAATTATTGTAAAAAAAATTAACTTTATTAATATATCATCTTACAAGTGACTGGACAACAATAGTAGTATTTCTCCTTTATTGTTAAATGTCTACTATTGTTATTGAATAATATTGTTTTCTTTCAAACCAAAAATAATTGAGTTAACAAAAGGTTTGTAAAATATGACCTGAAAGTAAATTGTCTTCCAGTCACGAAATTTGTCCCTCGTAAACAATTTCTTTATCAGACATTTTCCCGTATCGTCGGAAGAAACTGAGATTTTAGGGTGACAACGTTACGTGCCTCGGCCTGTATATTATTACCAATATTTCTACGTCTGTCTTCTTTTTTACCACGTTGACTGGGGAACCACCACGATAAATCTGTCAAAAGCACATGCATTTACTGTTGCCGGATATATTGATCCTGCGAATTTATTTCACTTAAATTTTCCCAATACAATCAACCATTACGCTTCTCCTAAAGTTCTCTTGGCGCTTTAAGCATTGATTTATCGTATTTTAAAAATAGATTTATTGCTAAGAGCAACGCCGACCTAGAATTACTCCTCGGAAGATATCTTCAAAGTTCTCCTTTTAAACAAAGTACATACGTGCATCGAGATCGTAGCAAATATTTGACTACCGCGATGAAATTCGAGTCCGTAAGATAAATTCCGTGTTTCGTTTCGTCTCGCCGGATGTTCGCGGGTTATTACGACCATTTTTTCCCCCCCTCGATTAACCGGGTTGACTCTCGCGTCGTCGAGGGTGGCGTCCTTAGTAGCAAGGACATCGTTTTCTAGGAGTTCGCCGAATGGATTAAGATATATTGCCGCTCTCGAGAAATATTTCTTCGTCCGTGAAAGTTCCGCGGCTCCGTGAGTAATTATGCGAGCAAACGAGTTTCTGTCGTTTCTGTTCCGTTTCCTCGGCTCTCTGGCTGCTTCCGTTTCTGTTGCTGGCTACGGGGAGAGTGTAACGAAATTCAGCAATAAAACGAGCGACCGCCCGGTTGTTAAGATAATGTCTCGGCCTGGCGTTGCCGGGAACGCAAAGCCCCGGGAATAAAAATATAATGGCTTTCGTAAAACTGGATTCGAGGGCGTCTCGTACACGACTTACGATCCCCGGAGACATATTTCGTGTCATCGGTCCCGTTCAGAATTCTTCGCGAAATATTCCTGCATTTTGATATCTCCCCATGCAGATTTTCATATTCTCAAGCATCAATATTTGCTCGTTCGATACGACTTTTATTTTTATTTTTATTTTTGTCTCTCTTAATCCCTTAATGTACAATTTAATTAGAAATAATTTTTCAAATGTATACTATTTCATTTTGCTTAAATGATCATAAAATGAACAGATTTATAAGACTCGATGACAAGTGTAGCCTCATAATTATGAAATTTGGCATCAAGAACTTGTGATTAGTCAGACTTGTCATTGAGGGCAAAATATCTAACCTCTCGTTGTAGATCTCCACTCAAGCATCAATGTTTGCTCGTTCGATACGTCTATTATTTTTATTTTTGTCTCTCTTAATTCCTTGACGTACAATTTAATTACAAATAATTTTTCAAATGTATACTATTTCATTTTGTTTAAATGATCATAAAATGAACAGATTTATAAGACTCGATGACAAGTGTAGCCTCATAATTATGAAAATCAAGAACTTGTGATTAGTCAGACTTGTCATTGAGGGCAAAATATCTACCCTCTCTTTGCACATCTCTACTTAATGTTATTCTCATTTAACTACGTAAATGTTTTTTTCTCTGCTCGTACTTATTTATTTAATGATCTGTCACGATATCAAGGAAGCTTGGACCGATCCAACCAAAGAATATCTCATAAATGCGTACATAGTTTATTATCAAGAAAAATGTGCATATATTTAACAGTTATACAGGTGTGTAATAGATCTTGCCAGTTAGGCTTACAACAACTTCTGGGGACTAACCATTAACGAGATTAATCCACCCATTTCGAAACCAGATACGTAGGCGATAAACACAAAAGACAAACTTCAGAATTTCTATCACTGAAACAAAGCAGATTCAGGGCATTCGTCCCGACCGCGGGAATACGTTTGCTTTTGACGAAACGTGCGCCGAAATTATTAGCTAAGGAAGCTTTGCGAGCGATAATAAATCAGGGAAACGTCAGACGCGATTGAGTATCGTTCTAATTGGACTGGTCGCGGAGTACAGTTTCGTCGAAAATGAAAGAGACCAAAACTGGGGGATAGTTTCAGCGGTTCGTTTATCAGGACAGTAATTTATGGAGTTTTCACGAGCTCCTGGCTTTTCGAGAGCCATCACAAATCGAGCGCTACGAAAAAAAAAGACGAGTCCACGGGAAAGTTTTCAATTACATTAGAGTCGGAGCATATTAAATGCATCTTCGAAGATTCTTACCGGCACTCCGTCCGAGATCCGCCGCGATCTCGCTTCAATTTCCCTCCTTCGTCCCTCTAACTCGATCCGAAGCGAGTTCGGTGGGTAAACTTATAAACTATGGAAGTTACTTTCCTATTCAATGAATTGACCGTGTCTTCTTCGGTGTACGTGCCTCGAAACCATTCCACCCCCGCCTCTACTGGCTTCTTTCAAGCCGAGTTCCCTTTTTTTTCGTTTTTATTATCTACCGCCGCGCGCGAGAAAGAATACAATGTTGTCGACCGACCGGAAAATTACAAGTTTTCTTGCTGTTGGCTGCGAGCAGAGTCGTTCTGCGGTGCTTCAAAATGGGTCACAGTGTTAAAAAATACACGGCTGTCCCGTGCAATTCACATATCGAGACCACGGTTCGCGTCGTCCTTGAAGTAGTGTTTAACTGTACATCTATAAGTAATTACTGAATCTGTTTTATAATTACTCTTCTACTTGGAAGTGTAGAATACTTACGATAGCCAGGGCAAAACATTTTTTTCCCACTCAATACAGAGACACAGGTTTAAATGGGTGCTTTTAAAACTTTAACAATTTCAGTACAGGACTGAAAACATAAAAAAATGTTTACAATTTGTAAAAGTACAATCTGAGACTGTATTATTTCAACGTTTGTATATCAAAGTGTCAGAGAGAATGTACCTTCCTAGAATCGAAATTTAGCGAACAGAGCTTTGGAAAAGTTTATATCGTTATTGCCGAGGATTTCGTACCACGTGAACTGACAACCAACGGAATCACTATTGTGGAAACGCAATTTATGCCCGAGACGACGGATTTTTCTCACATCGTGAACATAACTCACGGGCATTTTTTTTTATAGCTCCTTCTAGTAGCAACTTCGCAGCAAGTGATGCCATTCTCCCGAGTACATAATAAAGTACACAGAAAATATAAAGAACTAAATTATTTGTTTCTTGAATTAAATAAACCTGCAGCTTTTAGGGAGAATTATTTATAAACAAAATTACCTTCTAGTGTTGACTCGTCAGAAATTAGATACACACGTTAAACATAATACCAAATCCATTATTACGTTCAACTAAACTAGTAACCACAACTAGGGTGGCTATTATTTGATAAATATTGAAAAATTATGTAGGTTTCATACACCAGTTTCCACCGTATTTGGTCATGATTTCAATTGTATTATAGAATTGGTATTAATTGATACAACGAAAAAAAATTGTACCAAGTGTTTAAGGAGATTGTGTTTTTAACGTGTCTAATGTTCGTATTTTTTTTTGTTGCAGAATTCGAGAGGAGTGCAGGCGCTGCACCGGGGTCGGCGGGTGCAACTGCAGGGGGCTCTCGGGGGTTGGCATCTTCCCCTGCCCCCTCGACACCCTCGACCCCCCTTGCTACCAGTAGCCCCTTAGTCTCAACCTCCTTGCCTTCGTCGTCACCTTCACCTTCTTCCTCACCTTCTGCTCTTGTAGCGGGCTTTGATAAATCGGTACTACAGGTAAGACTTCTTCTTTTTTTTCAGTTGTCTGCTCAGACTGCTCTCGAGGGGTTATTCTAGTCTGGCTACAGAAAATCTGGGGCGTTTTTAGAATTTTATAGAATGTTACCCATTTAAAAAATAACAATAGTATCTCTTAAATAATGATTAATATTTATCGACAGCGATGAATGTTTTGCACATAAACGTTTTCAGGTAGAACGGACATTAATAAAAATTATTTTGATATCTACAAGTAACGCATGTTCGAATAATATATGGACAATCAAATCGACAAACTGTTTAACCCTTCAACGAGTATAACCGTATGGTTCCAATAACTTACTATACTTTCAGTCATTGTTATAAAAACACAATAAGTATAATAAGATTCTTTTCGGTTCATCATTTATGCCAAGATAATCGCGCGAAGCATTGCCTTTTTATGGATATAATATTATTCATTGATATAAGTTATCAATTGTAGGCATTGTGTAGATACTTTATTAAGTTTTCTTTGACGTTATTTTGTCGTTCGTTGGTAAAAATTTCGATAGCTTCAAGATTGTGAAGAAGATTCACTGAAAAATGTAGCTTTAATACACAACGTCGTCGTTGACAAGACTCTTATACCTTCGAAACCATCCAAGATATTCAAGCGTCTCGGATGCTTTGCTCCCGCAGGGAGTCTCGAAATTGTCGACTATTTTCCGCGTAAAACGATAACCTATTAAATTGTTCGGAGCAACAGACTGTATCGCGGAACAAAGGGTCGGTGGCTGGTTCAACGGGGTTGAAACGGTAACGTCTAAAGAATAATGATCGCCATTAAGCCGGCCCGAAGCGAAAATCCGACGTTGAATCCAACTTGCATGAAGCACTGCGCAAAAGTTTGTCGTCTTTTGGCGGCGTGGACGACAACGAACCGGGACAAGCGTAGTTCGGGGGTGGTAAAAGCAATGGCGGTAGGGTTAGTTACGATAGTGCGGAACCTGGTCTGCCCTCGGGTGCCTTGGCTAATTAAAGCTCATAAATTACGCGGACGTGGAAAGAGACTGACGAGAATATGGCAACCAGGTAACGAACAGGCGTGCCCGACGGCGTCAGCATAGCGCGTGCAACAAAAGCTGTGACGCTGTCGAAAAATGTGTTGAGCTGCGTACCGCGTGCGTGTACCGTCTTGGAAGGATAATATTCGAAAAAGTCCGTTTGCCAGAAAAGAATAATTCTCACGAGTAAACTCGTCGACGTAGTACCTTCAATTCTGATAATTTTCGTCCACCTATATGCCGTTTCGAGAGATTTTCAATCACAGAATTATATACAAGGAATTAATTAATATCCAGCTCCTGTTTCATTCTGTCATATTTTAATGGAGACACGATGAAACAACATATTGAAATGTAATATCATTTTCCTTTATCAGATAATATAGAATGAAATGGAGATTCAAGTTAATGAGGATTATTTTATCGAAACATCCAAACGTATTAACAGAATTTTTAATTTTGTTTATTGAACAAATTTACAGAGTATGATTTTCCCTTGTGTTTTAATAAACTATTCTAAATTCATAGTTATTAGCTTCGTGTTACCCACGAAGAACTTTTTTTCCTTCGCTAGGTAAGTAATTATGAGTAAAAATTATTAAATATTATAATTGATAGAAATCATGATATTTGTATGGATAGAAGATTTCGATGAATTTTTATTTCAAATCAGAAAGCTAGAAGACAAGTTTTCCAAAAAACATAGTTTTTCATTTAAAAAGTTCAAATAAAAAGTCCCAAGCCTTTTAAAATGAAACTTATTTCAAGTCGATCGCGTGGTTAGTTTCGGAGATATAAGGGTTTGAAAAGGGTTTGAGAGGTGCGACGTGTTAGTTGGAGATAGTGTAATTCGAAAAATTAACCCTTCATTAAAATTACGATATGCCCAAAACGGAAAGTCAAATCGATATAAACCAAAAATCATTTTAAAGAGGAAGGTTTACCAATTCTAACAGTGGCTCAGTTCTTAATAAAACATTAGTAACTTCGGAACTGTACGCGTTTAACGTTTTATTATTTTTAATACGAGTTAATAGACTAGATAGAGATAATGGAATTTCAAAAATTATTCCTCCATTTAAATTACGATATTTCCAAAACAAAAAATCGGATCGACATGAATCAAAAATCATTTCAAAGGGGAAGCTTTGCTGCTTCTAATGATGTCTCAGTTATGGAGCAAATATGAGTGAGCTCATAACCGCACGCGTGTAAAATTTATGTACTTTTAATACGCGTTTCCTCGACGAGTTTTCTTCTGTCCGTATTTATAATGGTATTTCCGGAATTTAATCTTTCTTTCCCTTCGTGACCGAATACCAGTCTGCGTTGAAACCTAACAATGTAGCAGCCGTCGAGTCCAGCAGAAAGGTCAAAAAACATTATTCAGAATCTACGTTTCTTTAGGAACGCGTTCTCGAAGGTGGTGGAAGTTGCGTTCGAAGTATCCGTTGCTCGATGGGCCCATTTAAATTCACACGCCGTGGCATCGGGCAATCTGCCCCTGGAAATAAGGGGTAACGCGCGTTCTATGGTTGCCAAAGTAGGAGGGACGATCTAACTAGATTGCCAGCGTGTCGCTGAAATTAATTCCCCTTCGATATTCGGTGCTCGGGCATCGATTGATTCACACTCGACCGAAAAACGCGAACGGTGTAAACAAGTGTACATTTCCGTTATCGAGTCATGAAACAATCAAGCCTCTTAGTTGACAAATTAATCAAGTCCCTTTTCTTAATATCGTAACACTTGAATTTTATGGTAAACTAATATTCTTTAAATCGAAGAAAATCTTATATGATACAGCAATTCAAGAGAATTTTATTTTTCTATTTATTCTTGCTTCTAAATAATATCACATTTCTTTTACTTTTACTTTTGACTATTTATTTTCTCACTTCAGAGTCGTTCAACTTTTTTTTTGTGCAAAGTTGAAAATTTTCGAAAACCATTGGATATCCATTATGCAAATGTTACTCCGTCACGGGTTTCTCGTATCGAGCAGATCGTCGTTCGTTTCCGCAGCCTCAGCAGCGGCACTTGTTTGTTGCGACAAAGATTTCCTTCTTCGACGTTTCCACGATCGACTTATCTAGTCAGCCGCGCTTCGAAGTACCCTGACGGCGGAAAATTCGGAAGAAGCGGTAAGCCTGGCAGAATATTCTGCCGCGGTCGGCACGAGTTCGGTTATCAGGAACAGGAATTAGATTTGTGCGATGGCGGTGGACAGCGCAGAAACGACGCGGGGTGAACCGAACCGCTCATGCAGCCGTATAACTCGGTCAATTTTATCGAGTTACTGTCCCGTTTCTCTGCCTTCGCGCCATCCTGATCTTCATTCATCCCGTACCCGAACCGAAACGTTCTTACCGTGAAGGGAGCTCTCGCGAAGGGTGGCCGAAATTCGCAGAAATTGGACGCGCAGACTGATTCGACATGATCTTCGCTCTAAACCGTAATTTGTTTTATAGCAGTCTGCTTCGGACTTCCAAATACACCAGCCGGGTTTCTTAAACCCCGTCGATGGCGCTACATATACGATGTTCGACTACTAATGGCAATCCTCTTAGGGGGTGGCTTTACAGGTCAATATAAAACGAAAGTCATGATCGGTAAAATTGCGTTCGAAATTTTTTCTTTTCCTCCCATAAGGAAGAATGGTATTGTAATCGATAGTAGTACGATCGAGGCAAATTTCAAAAATTTTTTTATTACGGGAAAATTGTGAGAAGTCTTCGCAAAAATGTGGTTGGTATATTAATTCAGAGAACTCTCTTTTTGACTCATTATCCTTTCGACAATCATCTCAATGCAACATTTGCACCATCTCTTAATTATACTCATTTATATTGCACTTCCACAATATAGTATAATGAATCCCATCTATATTTATATACTTAAATCCAACGTCACAAGAATCTATTCTAAATTCTAATATTTTCTGATCACGTTTTCGCTTGTTTACGTCGCATCGATTGCTCGGTAAATGCATTGTAAAAATATTTGACCCCGGATTGGCAGTGGGTAGGTACAAAGTGAATTCGTTCCCTTGGGAAAATCGCATAGTGTTGTGTACAGTTTCGCTAGAAGGGGAATTGAAAATCATGGACATAAGCAGCGTGTAGACCTTTGACGTTTTGTACGTGCAATAATTTAGTAGCTAGCTTACCTCGTTGATTGTATAATTTTAGGAAAATCAAAGTATAACAAGACGTAGAAGATCAGAAAATATACACTCTGTACAGATGACTTTTCAAATTTTATGTTGTGCTTTTCGTTTCGATTCTCTCTTTTCGTGAGAATATATTAAAAACAATATTCGTACATTTAATGAATTAAATTTAGAATGTGAATAATGGGATGATAAATGCAGTAATACAATGAAGCGAGATATCGTTTCCTTTTACCCCATTTTTCCCACACTTTCTTCGGTATTGTATCTTTGTCGGAAGTTCCTTGACGAGGAACCTTTGTGCGACAAACCATTTTATCAAGCCCCTTTAACTCTTTGCGCGTAGTATATTGTCCTTCTTGCCGAGGGTACTTTAAGCACGAAATCTCGCTCGGCATTTGCATGTTTGAAACCAGTGGCCCCTCGACTCTTCACATATTCGATGGGAATGTTGTTACTTGAATGGTTTTGTCGCACGTGGTGCCTAATAGTAATTAATCTCAGCAAACGTGCAGCCGTTTTATCAAATTACGTTCAACGAATATTGGAAATTATGTTTAATATTTCGTTTTCAATTATTTTCTATTCATCCTTCCTAGATTTCTTTTTTGATCACTGCAGCGAGACGAAATATTAGAAACGAATTATTCGATTCAACAAATCATCCTGAATTTTTATTTCTGATTAATTTTACAAGCTTACTTGGTATCAGTATTCTCGTTATTCTTTTTCATTAAAATCCAAATGGGAAAGAAATAGCTATAGTCAAAATGCAAATTCTTTATATACGAATGTCGTTA